TAATCTGAAATAATTTTCTTGTTTATGTGCAATAAATCGACAAATAAGAATCCTGTTTGTTTCCTATACTGTAGTAGTAGTAGTAGTGTAGTGCGTGCTACTGATGTTGACAGATATAAGTAGTATGTATCCTCGATCTAAAGTGGAATGCCTAGTGGCAGAAGGTTGAGGAAATCGAGGAGAAGAGAACGAGAACGAAGAGTTGTTAGTATGGAAACCAAGAAACAACAAAATATATGACAATTGATGGATATTTTTCAAATGAAGTATTAATGTATGGTTCCCAAATTTTACCAAGATATTCTGTAATTCTGCATTAAAATACATTTGGTTGTCTCCCTTATGTTCTCGTTCACTATAGTAGTAACAGTAGTCATTACTACTATAGTAAACAGTAGTCGTCCCGACCGTTGCTGCTACCTTGACGTGGTGGTCGGGCTTGCCTATCGTGATGAACCAATCGAGCTATACTGGCTGGAACAATCGTTCCTCAAGGTCCTACCATGAGAGACAGGTCGGTTGAAGAGCGGTAAGGCTAAAAGCAGCAAACCCAAGGTCCGAGAGCGAAGTCGTACTGCTGACTGTACAGAGATGTGACAGCAGTAAGGTGTTTCCTTCAGACAACCAGCATAACAGCAATGCTGCCTTTTTACAAGGAGGGGTGAGGTTAGAAAAGGTCGACCCTAAAGATACACACCTCGCCTTATCCTACGGATATCCGTCTCCGGCGGTAATGTCCGAACAAGTACGGAGCTAACACAAAAATTACCCACAAAAAGGTCGTGTGTGACTGACCTCAAGCAGTTGTCCCTTGAGCACCGCGACCACGCTCCCAGGTCGTTAAGACCAACATTAATCCAACTTCCTTTCAAGTCCCTCAAGAAATACCCTTCTACGGTGTGGGCAGCCGGGAAGTGATATTAACCCTCATACCCGTAACAGCAGACGAGACCAAGTTGGTCACATTCAAATCCTTTCGACTGAACAGTAGTCCTAGTAAACATTATTTTTGCATGTTCTATTGTCTACATGAATATCCGTCTATTTTATTTATTTATTTAAACACATATTGGTGCAAAAGGGCACCAGATACATATGCGCCACACAAAATAATGAAAGTAGGAAGAGAAGGGATGAAAGGATAAGGCGAACTGAAATGTTCAACCAGAAGACTCTTTCATTTAGGAAAGTTAGAACCATTCTTTATGTAGAAAGTAAAAGAGGGTTGTAGCAGGATCGCCATTGGCTTCTATTCTGAGCCATATCTGATAACGTCTCTAGCTACTGTGTTGCACCATCTCTCGGACCCCATCCAGGGAATCGTGATGGACCAACAGAAGCTAGCCCTTTGCAGCTTTCTTTCATACCACGACACCATGTCATACACTGACCTCCTCTCTGCTTTTTCCAACCAGTCCCAGAGTCGGCAAATAATGCACGACGTGGAAGTCTCTGGGACGACATTCGTAAAACATATCCAAGCCACCGAAGTCGTTGTTTCAAGATGGTGACACCTATTGAATTATCGTCTCTGCGCCCGAACACACGATGCCGAACCTCTGCATTACTAACATGGTGTTACCACTGTATGTCAGCAATCCTTCGGAGACAACGATGATTGAACACAGAGTCGTCTAACATCCTCAACTCGGAGAGACCAGGTTTCACAACCATAATATCCGTCTATGGCTATTAACTTTTAAAAGCTGATTTATTCATTCCGTGTTTAATTGTAAAAATTCGATTTTATTGCTGATCAATCATATTAAATATAAGTAATTTTGGAATCTAGGGTCCTATTTAAAAAAAATCGTTATTCTTAAGTACTTTGAATGTTACTTATAGTTGACTCATATCTTGAAATACAAATATTTCGCAGTTATAATACATTATTAAATTGTCTACTTGTGTTTTAATGTGGAATCTTGTACAGTTTTTCATTATCCCTGAATATGAATTACTATATTTAAGCTTTCTAATTTCTAGTCCAAAAATGTCGTTCGTTTTTACAGTTTCGAATTTGAATTTAATGTAATTAAGTGTTAATTTAGCAAAATATTTGGAATTCGAACAGATACACTTTTAGAATAACACATAAAAGGAAACAATATTGTTTTACAATTAGATTTTTATCAGGTTTTACTCTAATATAATACATTAGTAGTATCTATATGTGTCTACGAAAACTATTGAACCGATGCAAATAATTTATGAGTCGATTATAAGAATAAAACTATTTAGATAACTATACATAATAAGTAAAAAAGTACAAATTGATGGTGAATTGACATAGACTATTAACAAATGTACATATAACCAAGTTGCTTAAGATGAACTGAAATAAGCTATTAGGATTGATTAATTATTTTTACACAGCACTTTTTTTCTGTTTAGAGCGATACCGCAGTTTTAGTAGAAACACTCAATACTCAACTAGCATTGAGTCCCGAATTCGGACTTTATTTGTTAAATATTCAAATATAAAATTAAACGTTGTTTTTATAGCTTCACACTGAGCTTGAACCCAAGACCTTTGGTCTTAAGTGCGAACGTCTAATCTCTAAACCACTAAGCCGAAATCCGATGGTGTTAATGTTTAACTTCATTCGATCCATGTTCCTGCACAGCCCTTCACCCATTGTCTGAGGAGAATAACTGTCTCACGCCCGACACTGATTGAACTCCATTGGTCACGGTTTCTCATTAAAACTTCAGGTTTTCAATGGTAGTCTAGCTTAGATCAACTTGCGAAATAAACTGTGAAAATACTACAATCTCCACAAATCTCCGTACTGATGAATATATGATACCCACTGATTTTGTATTATACAAACACATCTAACGTTATAAGCTAACTCATTAAAGTGTGTGTTATTATTCACTGATAAGTACAAAACGTTTTTTGCATAATCCAATCTCAAATTTTCATGATTTTCCCCAAATTTGTTGTAAAATGATAATTTCATTTTTTTTCTTTTTCTTCTTCACACTTAACTAACTACAATGAAACTTACAATTAAATCTATGTAAAATGTAAAGAAATAAAGAATGAAGTTAATTACAGAATACAATGAATTCATATTGTACTTTATTATTTTCTGTCTACAGTTAACACCTAAAAACTAATTAAGCCTAGTTATTTTGAAATTTTTTCAGGTATTTTTGAATTTGATGGGTAAACATAAATTGTCCATCAATAATCTATAACTTATTTAAAAGGGAAATAAAGTTTGGAATTTAAAGTTTTAAAAAAGTGTTTATAAAAACAAAATGATTGACTAAAGCTTAAATATCATTTTATTCTTTCCTAATTATTGTGGTTTAATAGTAATATCTAAGTATTGAAGTGACCGAAACAGTATGCAATCAGTATTGCTTGTTTATGTAATTGGGAATATGTACTGCTATTATTAATATTACTATTGTAAAGGAATAAGGACTTTACTAAGTGGGGAAGGAAGATTCATTCCAACAGTTGTTTGGTTAAAATGTATCCGCGCCTATTTTTTTTTGGCACAATGTTATATTGGGTTATAGAAATTTATAAAATGTCTATCTTCAGTGCAAAATTTTTCTTTTGTTTATGCGAATGTCACGCTTTTTTTTTGTTCAATGATGAAAAAGTATTCAATTGTGATTGCATTATTAAAAATAAATTATTCGAGCATCAATATCCAATAAAGTTGAATTCACTTATAAATTCATGACAATTGAAGGTAAAAAGACATTATGTATTACATTCCTTATTTTTTCTTAAAAAAAACCCAGACTTAATTGACATCTGTTACTGAATCTTTCAAATAGAATCAACCCACTAAATATCGGATTCCTTAAGCAGGTAATAATATATCGTCTAATCTTCGAAATTTCACATCAACATTTTTTAGTATGTCTTCTATGTATATATTACATTCTACTCATGAATAAAGGTTCTGTTTACTTAAGGATTATTTGTTATTAACTCACTCACCTCCCTCTGATATATCTGTCATTAATCTTAATAAGGTTAGGGAAAAGAAAGTTGGGAATCTTTAATTAAAGAAATTTAAGTAGCCGATCTTTAATCTTCCTTCTTAATAGGCTATTAAAATAATTTAGATATTTTCTTATAGACTGAATTACTCCACTACAGTAATACGACATCTATTTAGTATTCATTTTTGATTTCCCATCTCTTTCGTTTACTATTAATAATCGATATAAGTAGATTTGTATCTCTATTCTCTGGTTATATGCTACTACGTATATGTATATCATAAGAAAACGATAATAACCTAAACCTAACAAATTTTTTTGGAAAAAATTATTCTTATTTTCTCATTGTATTTGCTATTCAAGTAGTTTTGTTTAGTCCACTCCAGTTTAGGCAAATGTATAGCTACACAAATACTTACATACTTACAAAAAATAATCTATCTTCAAATGCACAATATTTTGCACGTATTTATAAAGTGCTATATCCAATAATCATCAACTGGTATTTCTATTGTCGCACCTTAATAGAGTGTGATCAATCCTCGGGAAATAATCATTTACACAGATAAAATCACCATAGATAATCAGTTGATACTCCTGGTTGTTCTATTTTTATTTGTATTGCTTTGATGAACAATTGATTTCAGAACATCCACAACTCTTGTGTATTTTCTTTAATTTAAGTAGTACAGTAAAATTTAAAGGTGTATCGTAAGAAAAGGAATGCTAACCTAGCACAATTTTTTTTGCATTTTCCACATTTTCTTGGTGTATCATGTGTGTGGGTGTGTGTTACATTTATATTTTAAAATACACGGTGAAATTATTAATTACACATGTGCTCTTTTTTTATTTTGTTATCTAAGCTTTCAGTAATATCCTAGTGCTTTTTATCAAATTTTTTCATTAAATATAACAAGCAAATTGTATACCATGTACATTCTTGTTTTCTCTTCTCTCTCTTCCTCTTCCATTTCTTTTTGTTTGTTTGTTTTTTTTCAACAAAAACAAATCGACCATTTTAGGATCTAGTCGTGGTTCATCACTTACAATGGCTAGTTCAACAACAAACGATTCATTGCCTAGTTCAAATGGTAGTCCAGCATTAACAAGTTATAACTCGAATCAAAATAGTACACAAAGATCATTTTCATCAAATTCGAATCCAGTGACCAGTAATGAACAACAAATATTAGAGGTTAGTTAAAGATTTTCCACTAATATTGTTGTTTTTTTTGTACAAAAAAAGTCGAGTAAATTTTTGATAGTTTTAGTAAGTAGATGACATTTCAAACGTGAAAATGATTCATTTTGAACTGGCTCAGAGGTTGATTATTCAAATATAGTACAATATTTAATTCACTGGTTTATATATGCATTTATAACCTTAGAGCCCCCTGGTGATGAAGTTATTGAAAACAATTATCTACTCAAATACTTATTATTTCTAAATATTCTACAAAGAATATTAAATAATGGAAATTGATTCATTTGATAAACTACAAATCTGTCGGTGAATAAATGAAGATTTGAGAAATACTTTATATTATTTTTTCTAAATTTATTGAGCACTGAGTAGTGACCAATGTCATATATGTCCAGTCCTTAGTAGTTCTGATCGAATTCTATCGATCAAGTGGCAATATGGCTTAACATTCATTTCAGTCCTACAGGGGGGTTATCGCGGTTCGAATAGAAGAGTGGTAAGGTTTCTGACTGTGAAACTGTGTGGTACGGGATTGAATCCGGCAGAGACCATCAGTTCTTTCACGATTACAGTTATACCTTCCTGACGTATTTTTCTGTAGGTTAACTAGAGAGTTATATTTGATTCCCCTCCAATGGATTTTATCATTTTTTTTACGTTATGGCATCTTTTTTTAGAACAAATTACACTATGCAACTCCTGTGATCAGAAATCAATCTCAATGCTCTACTACTCCAGGTCAAGTGTTCAATCCGTTAATACAGTCTACATTGGCTAGTAATCAAGTTTGTATGAATACTGTCTGTGTGACAACAGGTATTCCAAACGGAAATGTTCCAACTCCTCCTCCCCCTCCACCACCACCGCCTCCACCTCTACCTATGTTTTCACCAGTATCGCCAAATAAATTGTCAACACCCCATCCATCACTAGAAGAAATAACTTGTCCAAAATCTACCAGTAAGAATTTATTAGTCCTTAGTGATCTATGTGTGTGTGAATTTTTCTTTGGTTTAACTATTTAATCATATAGCCTGAACTGGATATAGTAATTTTTAAAATCGAACTCAATGCGTGTGTATTTAGGTCCAAAGAACGTTGTTAAACATTTTAGTATGATAATACGAAAAATAATAACTTGTAGTAAGGATAAAAATGTTTAATAATTTTAATCTAATAAGGTAACTCTCTCTGAATGTTAGGGTCAATGTGACTTTTACCCAGCTATTCAAAATGTAAATATGTAGATTAGGTTTCGAACTTACCATATATTGATTGATTTTATAAGAAATGCGTCAAACTTAAAGCTAAGCTAAATTACCTAGTCCAATATTTCGACGGCGACTTAAAGACTGCTTCAATATATATATAGGTTATCGTAAAGCACTGGAGCTTTTGGAGAAAAGTTTTGAAAAATAGCATGTTGTAGGATGTACGTTCATTGATAATTTGTCATAATTTACTAATACAAGGGAACATACGACTCACTGAAGGAAATGATCTCCAGAAATCCAAGTATGCTGACTGACGCTCAAACAGATGAATTCGGTTACGAATCTGAACTGTTCTGGTACTATTGAGATCATGGTTTTGAAATCATTGCATATTTAGTGAGAGTTGGTAAATTTAGTTTACGAGATTATTGAAGGAGGTTGAAAGCCTTCCTTGAGCGATCTTGTTGATTTTGTAAAGAAATAATCTGAAACTTCTAATACCAGATATGAGCTACTTTTCAACGGAAGTAGTACCACTGATAGTAAAGATTCTGATGTAAAGGAGAAGTCTAATGCAGGTTGTAGTACACCAAGAGTATCTTATACAAGTAATAGTAAAGGTAATTTCACCGCATATGACGGATATGGTTAACGTGGTTTATCTTGCTTAATATGCTCTGGAAATCATTTTCTCGATCATTGCCATAAAGTTGTTAGCAAAAGGAACGAATTCATTCTTGATCATAAGTTGTATAATGTTCGTTTGAAGGCAAACTACCTGGTCGGAAGTTTCTGGTCACCAAGGACGTACTCGGTCGATGGATGCATTTGACAGCACCGTAATCTACTCCACTGGAAGCAGAAAGTACGGATGGATGCCACTGATCTTATTCATGTTAATACTCCTTATTTAGGTACAGAGGAATATAAAGAGTGCGAGAATTTATACTCAGAAAGAAGTTGCTCTAGTCATAATACCAGTATTTTCAAAACACAAAGAATGGTTTATTCAGACCTTTGTCTTCTTGGATAGTGGGAAGATATTTATCTCATTGTAGATAATCCAGTTAACGAGCTTGGCTTAGATGGGAGGCTTAGCCAGTACCCCTGAAGTTTTGATAACCAGCCGTCATTGTCATGCAAAAAAGGTTACATCGAAATTCATTTGCTAGACTTTTTGTCGTCTATTAAAGTCTAATAGATGTTAACGCACGAAAAAGTACTGATTGTATGCAAAACTGTGCCGAAGGCACATCAGACAGCATCTTGGTTTCACTTAAAGAACGAAAGCTTTCCAGTAGTAGAAGATGCAAATCTCAATTTGTTAATTGGGTGTAACACATCAGTCGCATACAATGCAAAACAGAACGTTTGTTTTGAAATATTGTAATATAGAAGTATACTAATGTTGCAACACTTCTCATTGTATCGAAGTGAAGAATAAAGAATACCACTTATCGATTATACAACCTGAACTTAAAAATATGTTAATATCACTATTAACTATCCATCCAAGTAGTAAATCTCGTCAAACGCATAAAAAAAGATTGATAATTGTCTGCTTTCGTCGTGTGATTTTAATTATTTTTAATATATTCACGTATAATTAGTTCATTTTACTTTGTAAACCTGTACAACTGAAATGTAAACGGATGGTCATTCATCATATACATCTACGTCAATTTTAACTACTTTCGACTATCAACTAGTTTGTTCTATGGATTATGTAGATTCAGCAAACTTTTTCTTTTTTGTTCATACATTTAAATGTAATGCATCAATAACTACTTCGCTTTTCTAGGTTGGAAAAAATAAAAATAATTATTGACCATTCATAATTACATAATTTTCTTCACACAGGCATACATAAATAATCAGGTAGCGTTCATTCTCCTGTCAGCCGTTGATGGCACCATACATTCAGTATTTCTTCATAAGTATTCGCTTAACAATATTTTCTTGTGACGATTTAACACTGTCATCTGTTTAAAAAAAATAAAAGTTGACTTTATCTAGTTCGTTCAATCATAACTTGTTCTTGATTTCACTCATTTGAGCAATGTAACTTAAAGTTAGTCAAATCCAAATTATAACTGTCATACTATATTATGGGTAAAATACAGTTGAGAAAACATTGATGTATATGCCATCTGTAAATCATTTGAGTTGAACATAAGAATTGTTTAAAATTCCTGTTTGAATATTGTAATAATTTCGATTTTTCAAGGTAGTTACAAATTAACACTAATAATCTAGATATTCCTAGAACTATTCACGAGTTTTCAGTGTGTGTGATATTCTTTTCTATAAATTAACTATCAATCATTAAAACTACATTTCTCTCTCACTCTCAATTTCTGTTCAATTTTTTTTCTAAGATTACGATGAAAATTTGGCAACTGATTTGGTCTCCGTAGAAACTGCTAATCTTATGTCTGAATTATCTTCACAATTGCAACAACTTGCTGCACGATCGAACGATGTAAACTTTTCTCAATCAACTTATAAAAGTAGGGATATATTTCACAAGGAACCCATAAAACACGATGACTTCGATCTACCACCACCACCTCCACCTTCTATGTTTACAGAGCAATACTGCAGTGATGTAGTGAAATCAGAATGTTCTCCGATTCAAAATACGAATATTAGTTGTAATTCCACTACTAGTATTATTGTTAATGATAATAATAATAATACTGATGAAGTGTCTGATGATAATTCCAACAAAAATTTATCACCATTTTTATTGGCGTTAAAACAAAGTGTGAAACAACGAGCTGACCGTTTAGCTGCTGGAAATTCAACAAATAATCGAACATGAAGTGATGCTACATATTTTGATGATGACCATCCCAATGCACTAGCATTTTTTGTAATACTTGTTAGGAATTAATCTTTGAAAGGTAGTGGAGACATACATTTAGGAATCTGTGTATAAAGGTGATGGTGTTGTACCATAATCATTCTCACTTGCTTTCTGGTAAAATCTGTCGATAACGTTCGATATTTATCCTTTCCTCATTATTTTTTATCATTATTAGGCTCATCGTCATCACAATAATCGTAATCATCAGTGCACTTTTTTATTGACATAACGAAAAATATACAGCCACAGCAAGAAGCAAATGTCTTATATGCTTCCTACTTTTTTCTTATTATTGTTGTGGTTAGTATTAGTTTTGATCTTTATCATCCTCTGCCGTTTCCATTTTTGCCTAACTCATCTTTTCCCCTATATATGTAAATATAAATGTTAAATTATTATTTTGTATGACATCATCATATTACTAATTCTGTTTAGTAATGTTTCGCGGACATTTCACATACACCTAGTAACTATACTTCAATATTATAAACTGATGTCAGGCTTTTTTAAGAAGAAAATCCGGTACTTGTATCTTTGACCGTTACTAGTAACATAACATTGCTTCTGTGTGTTTGTTTCTACGATCTTTTTTCATTTTACCAATGATATGAAGTAAGTGTTTTTCAGAAAAGAAAACCGGTCATTATCAAATACGTCCTACTGATTAACTAGTTGACTAACTGTCTAGTTTAATAAATAATCTAACAATCTATTCGATCTAGAATCTCGTTAAACATATTTCTGGACACAGATAGACACATTCATACATATACACATTCATGTACATTTTCAAATTCATCTGTTCGTATTATCTATTGTTAATAATCCGTTGGAAATTTCCATGCGTTCAAATTTCAAGGAAAGATTTGTTATTGTCATTACTGGCGCTATTTCTTGTGTTTATTCACATGTCTTTTTTTAGATTATTTCGTGTTTACATTTTGTTTCAACAGTTAAATTTTTGTTGATGACCGACAGCGTAAGGAATTTTGTACGCCTTTTCTTTGAACACAATAAATCAACCGGGAACAAATGTTTTCAGATATATTTAAATTCTTATTGTTACTACTACTATTACTACTAGTTTTAACGTTAAAATTATTATTATTATTATTATCATACTTTGGAGTGTTGAGTATCTTGTTCATAGAGAATGTGTTGTTGAAAATGTGTTCTGGTGTCATTGCTGTATTGTTTCGTTGTCTTTATTTGTGTCACTGAATGTGATTCAACCATTTATGTGTATGATTTACTATCACACCGTGTCCCACCCCTACGTCTGTCTTGCTGTCGAACTGTGTGATGTATATCTGTAGTTGTCTGTATGCTTGATTCTTTACTAATTTCCTTTTAGGTTTATTGATAAATTATATTTTATCAAGGTTATAGAAATTTGTTATTGTTGTCTTCTATATTTCATTCTTTTAAAAATTATGTATTACAGTGTATCATTTCCTTGTTTATCACTTTGTGAGATCACATTTTTCATTCTATAATAAAATTGTATTTGGTAATTGTAGATGGGAAACAAAAAGGAATGATTGAAAGATTCAAGTGAAAAATGAGGCTCTCTCATATACTGTCTTCATTAATGACTCACTGTACTCTAATTACATGTTCTATGCAGATAATATTCATACACACACTACTTGATAATATGTTTTTTTTATATACAAAATGTGTTAATGTCCACAAATTGCATTTTATTTATTTAACTTTACTATATACATATTACAGAAAGAACAAGGAAATATTGTGTAAATTGTTGGAGATTGTTTTCTTTTCTTTGAAGTTACCTGTCTGCATGTCTATTTTTGTTGTTGGGCTTTTATTATGGAATAATACCAGGGCTAATCATTCACGCGTACTAAAGGTAAAATTTGGTGACGTAATCTATGTGTTTTCTAATTAAAACAGACAATGATGGTGAATTTTGTATCGCTTCAACTTCAATTCGCTTTAGTTGATAAGCTAGTTATGTCTCTACTGCATTTGTCAGTAGTCGCAATGTATTGACGTACCCAAGTTATGTTTATATTTCATAGATTAAGGGTAGATTGTAAACGTAAATACAGTGATTTATTCAGATGACAAATTTAGTCAGTAAAGGAAAACACAATCAGTTGCAACACAAACTGGACTAACGAAGTGTTGGAAATACTTCTTCCCACTTTATAAATTATATAAACACATTTTTGTTATCGACAATATGGCGATCGGTTGCCGTACCTATACGCTTGGTCGGGATTTGTTATATTCCAATTATATAGCACACTGCATTTTATCTCATTATATTTAAAAAATCTTGTTACACATTTGAATGGAAGGTAGTGTGTTCTAATTGGTTGGAAGTTGTCCTTTTATTTCCCTAGTCACCATTGGTTCTCCAATCGACATCGAAATTTGTAATCTTAGTTAATTAAGACTATTGCAACATTTGACAGACAGCTCGTAAATTTATCTGATGATCTGTTTCAATTCTCTTTATGAAAGACAATTAACGTACTATCATTTGAACTTCAATACACTGAGAGAAAAACTGTACTTAAATATAAACAAAGTAGTTTGTTCTTATTAGTCCACTGATGTTCCTTAATAGTAATATTATCTATTACATTTATCACAAGAAGTTATCTTTGGCGATTTTACTTTCTAATAACTTGTTTATACCATCGTATTGTCTACCACGAAATTCTTAAATAAAACGAAACTACTGAAAAATTCACGAAATATACAGATTTCTGCTTAATTACATCTGTCTTAGTCAATACGGTTTCAGTGTCCAGAAATTAACTATCAGTCATTTTAATGGTTAACAATATTTTTAACTTATTCGATCTTATTTGTTTATTTCTTTCAAATTTATCCATCATAATCAATTATAACAATAGGAAATCACAAAAATACTTGTGTAAAATCGTATATCTGAAAATATACCGGCGCTTTTGCTGCGTATACTTGCTTACTTACTTACGCCTGTCACCCCCAATGGAGCATAGGCTGCCGACCAGCATTATCCAACCCACTTTGTCCTGGGCCTCCCTATCTCCTTTGACCTTGAGGACACCAAGTGAGAGCTTGTCTCGTGACGCAGTTGGCTGCTTTCCTCAATGCGTGCATTATCGACTTCCATTACTTCTTCCTGATTTCTCCCTCCGCTGAAATCTGGTTTGTTCTCTCCCACAGTAGAATGTTACTGATAGTGTTTGGCCGATGGATCTGAAGTATCTTGCGTAAACAACTGTTAATAAACACCTGTATCTTCTGGATGATGGCTTTCGTAGTTCTCCAAGTTTCCGCCCCATACAGTAGAACTGTCTTGACATTTGTATTGAAAATTCTGACTTTGGTTGTAGTTGACAGTTGTTTTGATTTCCGTATGCTCTTCAGTTGTAGATATGCTGCTCTTGCTTTGCCGATCTGCATCTGATCCACCGTGTTCATCAATGGTGCTTCCCAGATATGTAAAGGCTTTTACATCCTCCAAAGCTTCTCCGTCAAGTGTGATTCGATTGATGCATGTTGTGTTGTATAGGAGAATCTTGCCTTTCCCTTTGTGTATGTTGAGACCTACTGCTGCTCTGTATAACCATTTATAATTTCACAACTTCAAAGCAATTGATGTTAGGCTTCACTAATTCAGTATATTATTATTTCATCACTCATTTCTTGTCATTATGTGAGTATTTCTTGTAAAATTAATTATTTAAGTGCTATGACTACATTCTAAATGATTGATGTTGTTATACTCTTTTACGAAACTGGATACTTCAAAATATTTCAGTAAGGCAAAGGTCCAACAAGAATAAAGTTGAACTTGTTCACCGTCGGATTGCAGTTTAATAGTTCAGAAGTTAAGACTCCACACACCAGATCAATGTTCTTGGGTTAAGGTGGTTGATGCGCTCTGCTGAGAAATCCAATAGTGTGACAAACGATGACTTAGGCAGGAGAAAATCAGTACTATGCGAAATTTCAGACTGAATCCGTAAAATATAAAAACAATGTGCTAAATGTACCATTTGCACATCTTTCTTGAATTTTCCCCCACAAACTCCATCGTTCTTCCATTCCTGTAATTACTTCAATTGTTCTCTGTTTTAATCCCTCTTCTACCAATGAGATTTCAACTTCTAATTTCCTCCACATACTACTTACATCGGTCTGTTTAAATAGTGCACGTCACAATAATTGGACGAAACAGAAATCCAGTGCTTTCAGGTTTTCAGTTGTTACCTAACTTCAACTGATTCATGTTTTCAATGAAATAATGTGATATAGTTTGAACTTTTTCGCTGAGTTGCATTCTGTCTCCAGATGCCTGATGAACTAGACGAGTGTAGGGGCATCATGTGACTGTGCTCACATGCCATTCCACGGCAAAGCATTAGATGAGAGATTTGAAACAAAGCTTGATACTGGTAGAAGTTGGTCAGAGTCGTAGCCCACATGTCCTTTTCTAGATAGAAAAGTAGTTTGTATATAAAGGTATACTTTTGTGCATAATGTAATTTCTTTGCCAGTTAGAATTTATTACTCAATCTTATTTGCACAATGGGATCATTATACTGCGGGATGTATATTTTGTAACCGAATCAAATCACAGTAATACCATTTATAAACTTATAATAATAATAGTAATAAAAAGACAATACAGTGTTTTTTTAAAAAAGTACACTCAATCTATCATGAAATCAAGATCCAAGTCAGGTGTTTGTTCCATACATTTTAATTTATCCTTCTTGGTAAATATGAATAATTGATTCGAAGAATACTAAACAGATAAACATCACTGAGCCGGGATCCAACGGTTTTAACGTCTAACTCCAATCAATTAATGGTATTGTGCAACCATGTTCCGTTGCCTGCTATGGATAATTTTCACATCAGATATGATTGAACTCCAATGGTCACGCTTTCACATTGAAACTCCAGGGATTTCATTTTGAAACTAGTCATTAGCAAGCGCATGATTATTATCAATATGGCGTTTTGCGGAGATTGTAGAAATTTTGTACTTTGAAACATAATTTTCACGAAACTCTTCGCTTGATGACTGTTTATTAGTAAATATCTTTCTGCGCTGTATTTGCAAATGTAGTTGATATCATGACATTATCTAAGAGTTATTAACGATAAGTTCACTCCGTTAGAATTCAAACTGATAGCAGCATACTTAAAACTTTCTAGATAACACAGTAACTACTTATTTTTAATTGTTCGTTTAAGAAGGAAACTGTTGAATGCTTCTAAAGAAGAAAACTAGGTAGTTTATATTCATAAGGTATTTTAATCACTGATCCAACTGAAACCAAAGACCGAAGGTCCTGCGTACAGGGTCGTGGATGCACACTCTTGAGGAGTCTCATATTAGGATAGACATTCAGTCCTTTACTAGTTGTCAGATCAGTTCATGACCTTAGTAAGAATCAATAACGTCCATAAGTCCTGTACTACCATAAGAACTAAACGAAAATATATTTTCTGTGTTCAACATAGTCATGTTATTATTTCAAGCATTAAAAAGGACTAATAAATATTCGGTTTCAACCGTCGTATACAATTTACAATCAGGCAAGAATGTGTATGTAGTTCAAATTATCACACCCTATATCAAGAGAGTAATGATTATAACGGGATCAGAAGTGCTGGCAGTGGTGTAAAAAATATCTATTACTAAAGTAAGTTAGAGAGAGAAAATTTATTTTGAAAATGAAACCAGAGTCAAAAAAGTGAAATAATACTTTGTTAGAGATTTGAATGAAAGAGAAATAATGAGTACATCGAGGTTAATCCGATTGATTCTGAAAGTTATGGCGAACGAAAAACGTTTAAATTTCACTACATTTCAAAGATCATACGCCATTCACTAGTTTGTAAAAGCACTAAATTAATTGTTTTTCACAGGATTTGCGATAAGTTCATTTCGAGTCCGAATGAGAACACTGAGACGCAAGTAACCCCAGGTGACGATACTCAAATAAGGAAAAACGTGTATCTTCTATTCCGCTACTAGTTAAAATTCTTCTATTCTCTGTAACTTGTATCCTAATTATTACATCGAGATAATTCACATAGTATACACATATACCAACAAATTTTGACTGAAAGAAGAATTTTTCTCGTGAATCACCTTTAATCCTTCAAAGAAAATTCTTATATGCGTATATTATCATTCATAATTACTAATAGGCTTCCTTAAATAATTAGACTTAATCTGATAATCTCCAATAGTTTTTATAGTTAGCTTTTTTTTAGCTAGTTAGTTTTTCTACGAGATGGAGTCGCTAACCCCATGCCCAACCATCCTCATTTACTCGGGCTTGGGACCGGCAGTAACTCTAGAGCAGCTACAGGCGGAGTTAATCTTCAATAATACATAACTACTTTTTTTTCTTGATGAATAAATCTCAATTTTTTTTTAAAAGGGATAAAACAAGCCATTTAATTTCTGTTTCAGTTATTAGACTAAAATGACCTGTCAAATAACAGTTTGAAGTACCAAATCATTATTGTTACAAAATCATGTAAGCATTTTCCAAGTATGGTTAGCAGAGATGGATAGTGGCTAGCAGTGGAATCCAGGACGCGCGTTTCGTCCTATTTGGGACTCGTCAGCTGGATGTACTTGCATCTCAGAGTTGATGTTCACTCTGGGATTCGAACCCAGTACCCTCGCTTCAAACGCCATCGCGTTATCCACTCGGCATTAGAGACTGACCAGTTGCAGTCCTAACAAATCGATGGGAAGGTTCAAACAAACAATA